TACAAAACACTCATGAGAGAAATTAAAGAAGATACTAATAAATTGAAATACATCCCATGCTCATGGATAGGAAGAATTAATATTGTCAAAATGGCCATCCTGCCTAAAGCAACATACAGATTCAGTGCAATCCCTATCAAAATACCAACAGCATTCTCTAATGAACTAGAGCAAATAGATCTAAAACTCATATGGAACAACAAAACACCCCAAATAGCCAAAGCATTCCTGAGAAGGAAGAATAAAGCTGCAGGGATTACGCTATCTGACTTCAAGCTCTACTACAAAGCCACAGTAATCAAGACAATTTGGTACTGGCACAAGAACAGACCCACAGACCAATGAAACAGACTAGAGAGTTCAGATATAAACCCAAGCATATATGGTCAATTAATATACAATACAGGAACCATGGATATACAGGGAAATGACAGCCTCTTCAGCAACTGGTGTTGGCAAAACTGGACAGCTACATGCAGGAGAATGAAACTGGATTATCATCTAACCCCATACACAAAAGTAAGCTCAAAATGGATCAAAGACCTGAATGTAAGTTATGAAAGCATAAAACTCTTAGAAGACAATATAGGCAAAAATCTCCTGAATATAAAAATGAGCAACTTCATGAACATATCTCCCTGGACAAGGGAAACAAAAGCAAAAAATGAACAGATGGGACTACATCAAGCTAAGTAGCTTCTATACAGCAAAGGACACCATCAGTAAAAATCAGTAAAACAAAAAGTCATCCTACAGTATGTAAACGACATATCCAACAAGGGGTTAACATCCAAAATACATAAAGTACTTACACGGCTTAACAACTAAAAAGCAAATAACCCAATTAAAATATGGGCAGAGGAGATGAACAGACACTTCTCCAAAGAAGAAATTCAGATGGCCAACAGGCACATGAAAAGATCTCTACATCACTAATTATCAGGGAAATGCAAATTAAAACCACAGTAAGTCATCACTTCACACCAGTTAGGATGGCCAGCATCGGAAAAGACTAAGAACAACAAAAGTTGGCAAGGATGTGGAGAAAGGGGAACTGTCCTACACTGATGGTGGGAATGTAAATTAATTCAATCATTGTGGAAAGCAATATGGAGGTTCCTCAAAAACGTAAATATAGAAATACCATTTGACCCAGGAATTCCACTCCTAGGAATTTACCCTAAGAATATAAGTTCTCAGTTTCAAAAATACATATGCATCCCTATGTTTACTGCAGCACTATTTACAATAGCCAAGAAAAGGAAGCAACCTAAGTGCTCATCAGTAGATGAATGGATAAAGAAGATGTGGTACATATACCGAATGGAATATTGTTCAGCCATAAGAAAGAAACAAATCCTACCATTTGCAACAACATGGATGGAGCTGGAGGGTATTATTTATGCTCAGTGAAATAAGCTAGGCAGAGAAAGTCATGTACCAAATGATTTCACTCATTTGTGGAGAAAAACAGCAAAGCAAAACTGAAGGAACAAACACCAGATGACTCACAAACTCCAAGAAGGGACTAGCGGTTACCAAAGGGGTGCGGTGAGGGATTGTGGGTGGGGAGGGAGGGAGAAAGGGATTGAGAAGTATTATGATTAGTGTACATGGTGTCAGGGGGATCATGGGAACAGAAAAGGCAAATAATGACTCTGTGGCATCTTACTACACTGATGATCAGTGACTGCAATGGGGTATGGGTGGGGGACTCGATAATATGGGTGACTGCAATAACCACATGTGAAATTTTCATAAGCTTCTATATCAATAATACCTTAATAAAAATTGTAATAGTAATAAAAGAAAGACTTCGAGACTGAACAGAAGAGAATTATCTGATATAGTTCCAGACACCTTAAGAGAAATTGAAAGGAGCATGTTGTTTGAGGAAAGTCAAGTCAACAGAAAAAAATCACAACAGGGAATGGGTGCTTAGAAAACTTTTCAAGAGAATCATAGTGAGCTTAGAGCAATAGGCCTTCTTACTAAAGCCCTGAAAAGGGTGAGGTTGTTATTAGGATGGGGTTCAGATAAATCTAATGAGGTCACTTTTTGGAAAAAATTCTGAAGTTTACATAAGAAATGCTAAATAGCTCAACACTTGGACTAAAAGCATACCAGGAAACCTGGGGCTGAAAAGGGCATATCAAAAAGAGACTGACCAAAGCATTAAGCTGAATCAAGCTTTACTGATAACTAAGTGAAGTCATCCTTGAAACTTACTGGAATTTCACCAAGACTATACACACTGCTGGTCTTTCAAACTTTAGAAAAACTACTTAAGAGTTTACATTACTATGTAATACAGTAAAATCTGGATTTGGAGGCCAACTACCCTGAAATCTAGTTTAGGCTCTACTTACTACCTACTGATTTATAAGGGAGGTGGGATGATAAAACCTTCTAAATTCAGTTTCCTCCTGTATAAAAGGCAGTAATGTTCCCTGCCAGGCCTAAATAAAAAATGTTCTGAAATTGTACAGTGCCACAGATTGCAATTATTATAAGGCCACTGTGCATAGATACTAAGGAGAGAGCCTGTGACCCCAGTATATTATATGTTTGCTTTCGGGGGCGCCCAGTGATGGTAGGTAATCTTTGACCAAGGTGCAGAGAGAAGGGATGTACTCAGTGTGGCAAGGAAGGAAGGCACATTTAACAAAGCCAGTCACTTTGGCCAAGGCCTTAGTGAGTATCAAGGTAACAGTCAGATTGTACTCTCTCTCTGACTCCTGCTAAGGACTGTATAACACAGTGACGAAGAGTAGCAAAGGAAGGTACAAAGAGCAGTATGCATATTTATAGCAAGAATTACTGTACAGTATTTCAGACTGTCTGAAATTATGAGAACGGCTTAAGGATATACAAGGATATTACATTAAGCAATAAAGATGAGATCCAACTATGTACAGAAAATTCTGGGATATCTTAGAGCAGCAACTGACCAAAAATTGTGATTTAATCCCTGGCTGGTAACAGCTTTACATTCCACTACAAGGTTGTAAGCACAGAAAGATACTGGCCTCCCACTACTACCAGTATCACCACACCCATGAGAACCAGGGGGCTCAGTTCTCCTGAAGTTTCCAAATATACCTTTTGGCAACAGAGATCATACATCCAAACAGGCTTGTGGAGATCTGAGCTCAGAAACATTGGCAAAAAAAGAGTTTAAAGTTCTTTTGGGGAATTGTAAAGTGTTATACCATGGAAAATCAGAAGATCAGTGTTTAAATGTATAAAATCCATCATCCAAATCTAAATGGCAAACTTCATTTCCCATTCATTTGAATAAAACTGGGCTGCTACAATTAAGATTAATTTTGCATGGAAAACATAGCAAAGAACATCACATAATGATTTTCTAAGCCTTGAAATAAAATCCTTAATGATTAAATTTAAAGGATGGCATCTTAGTTACAGGAAAATAAGATTTTTCACTTGGGACCTTCCAACACCCTCACTTTCTAGGGTTAATGGTAACTGTTTCCTAAGGCTCTTTCTAACTTTATTGCAGTTTTTATAATCAGAAAAACCCATACTCTAAATATTTTATAATGAAGATAATGTCAGTGGGATCACATTGGCATGTATTAAATGGTTATTAAAAAGCACAGGACTGATCAATCATAAATACTGACAAGTTAAATTTTTTAAAGTTACCTTTTCTAACCAGACCCACTTTATTTCTTAAAATTTGGCAGATAATCAGGAATGTTTAGAACTTAATTTGGATGAGAGTTGAAATATAACATTATTTTCTGTTTTTAGTATCTGCCAGAATTTGTTAATGTCTGAACTGAAATTTTCCACAAACTCTCTACTTTACTGACTACTTCACTGATTACTACTATTCTGCTCTACGTGATAAAGATGTCTCAAATGAATCATAAAACTTGTAGAAAAATACTTGTATCAGTTGACTGGAGTTAACAGGAAAATCATTTTGTTTCAATCTTTGTTACTAAAATATTCTTAAATGTGTGAGTATACTTGTATTCAAAACTTACTTATGCCTGGTATAAAAATGCTTTATATATGTATAAATTCAATAATTGCAACAATTTTATAAAGTAGAAGCTATTATTAGCTTCATTTTATAAATGAAGAAACTGAAGAAGAAACTTTACACAGCTAATGGTCTGGAATCAGTTTTTAATTTACTAAATATCTTTCAGCAGCTTAATTTTTTGTGTGTGATTAGGTCCTTCTACCAAAAAAATTAGATTCCTTTTAACCAGTGTTTTCTAAACCATTTCTCTACTTCATTTAAGTCTCAATGATCTCAACAGATCTATAGCAGATAACCTTTAAATTCTTAAATATTTTTGTGTGAAATGAATAGGACTAATTGAGCTACAATTTTTAGTAAAAAGATGACCTCCTGGGCATAAAATTAGGATACCTGAAAGGTACAATCAGTCACTAAAGCTATTTTGCTATCCCTAAGTAATAAACAGAATTCATAACTACTGACATCAGCCATCAGTTATTGTTCTTTATTTAAACCCACTAAACAATAGCTCAATACCGCTTACAGAAAATGAATGTTAAGTTTTATATAAAGGGTATGAATATCTCTAGTTGGGAAAAAATCAGCTCTATAACATACAAGGCAATTTTTACATGCAACACATATACAATTGATATTTGGCAATTTCAATATACTTGATCTTTTAACAGTGTCACTTAAAAGAGGAAGAAAAATTTATTTGGTTCAGCAGAAAGGCCAAGCTTTGCATTGGAAGCTGATATGCATATACTGACATCTTGAGAAGCTGGGAAAGATACCCTCCTCTTTTCCTGCTTCTGTTTATGGGCACTGAGAGCAGACTCTTGTTTTACTTTTAAGTTGAATTTCATTTGTATCATATACAGAATTAAAGAAGATGAAAAACATGGAAACCACAGTTCCAATCTAATGCTTTGGTTTTATTAAGTTCTACATATTTAAGTTATTAAAAAAAATTAGCACTCAAAAATCAGCAAATTACCTTGAATGTAGCTCTGTGCTGCCATTATTATATTTGCTTCCTCTTTCCCAGATACCAAAGTCAGGTACACGGTAAACTCTTTCTACACAAAATACAAGGTTTTGAATAAAAGAGACCTAAAAGAAAATAAATAAAACATAATGACAAGTTCAATAATATGTTCTTTAGGTAATAAGAACAATTAAATAACATGTGAAATCCAAGTACACACTTGCCTACCAAAACTTTTAAACATGTTGAAATTCTTGCGATTATTACATTACTGTGAATAATCTGTTATACCTAGTTTTTCTAATATAAAATCTAAAGTTAGAACCTAATATTACATAGCAAAGAAAAAAAATCAAAGACTGTCAATGTTCCAATGATAATTTCTCAATGATATATCTATTACTATTCATGAAGACTGGCCATCTTAAGAATTAAGAAATATACAAAGCATGTTTTATACTAGATAATAGTATTTGGAATTTAAGATGTCTATATGAAATGTTAAATAAATCTAAAACTTTGGAGATAAAAAGGTATTCCTCAGTTATGAAATGAGCCAGTCCCAAGTTGGATCAACATGGAGTCTTGAGTTCTCATCCCTGCAATCTAACTTTCTTCTGCCTGTCTATAGCTGTAAGTACCCAATTTTATAAACTCAAAGCATACAACTGGAGGTGGGTCCCAAACAATAAATCAATAGGCCAGGAAGCACAGCATCCATGCAAAGATTTCAGACATTTGATGAAATTTAAGTTTCAAAAGTAACTATGGAAAGCAAAGATTATGGTCAGTTGTCATTTTTTATTTTTACTTTGGTATAATTAATCTAAAGTTACAAAAGGAACATTATGTTTACTAGACTCCTCCCATCACCAAGTCCCCCTCACAACCCCTTTATAGTCACTGTCCATCAGCGTAATAAGATGCTGTAGAATCACTACTTGTCTTCTCTGTGTTGCACAGCCCTCCCTTGCCTCCCCCCACATTATACATGCTAATCGTAATGCCCCTTTTCTTTTGCCTTATCCTTCCCTTTCCACCCATCCTCCCCAGTCCCTTTCCCTTTGGTAACTGCTACTCCATTCTTGGGTTATGTGTTTCTGCTGTTGTTTTGTTCCTTCAGTTTTTTCTCTGTTCTTATACCCAACATATGAGTGAAATCATTTGGTATTTGTCTTTCTCTGCCTGGCTTATTTCACTGAGCATAATATCCTCTAGCTCCATCCATGTTGTTGCAGATGAAAGGATTTGTTTTCTTCTTATGGCTGAATAATGCTCCGTTGTATCTATGTACCACATCTTCTTTATCCATTCATCTACTAATGGACACTTAGGTTGCTTCCATTTCTTGGCTATTGTAAATAGTGCTGCAATAAACATAGGGGTGCATATGTCTTTTTCAAACTGGGCTGCTGCATTCTTAGGGTAAATTCCTAGAAGTGGAATTCCTGGGTCAAATGGTATTTCTATTTTGAGCTTTTTGAGGAACCTCCATACTGCTTTCCACAGTGGTTGAAATAGTTTATATTCCCACCAGCAGTGCAGGAGGGTTCCCGTTTCTCCACAACCTCACCAACATTTGTTGTTCTTTGTCTTTTGGATGGTGGCGATCCTTACTGGTGTGAGGTGATATCTCATTGTGGTTTAAATTTGCATTTCTCTGATGATTAGCAATGTGGAGGAGCATCTTTTCATGTGTCTGTTGGCCATCTGAATTTCTTCTTTGGAGAACTGTCTGTTCAGATCCTTGGCCCATTTTTTAAGTGGATTTTTTGCTTTTTGTTTGTTGAGGTGCATGAGCTCTTTATATATTTTGGATGTCAACCTTTCAGTGGATCTGTCATTTATGAATATATTCTCCCATACTGAAGGATGCCTTTTTGTTCTCTTGGTGGTGTCCTTTGCTGTACAGAAACTTTTCAGCTTGATATAGTCCCACTTGTTCATTTTTGCTTTTCTTTCCCTTGCCCGGGGAGATATGTTCATGAAGAATTCACTCATGTTTATGTCCAAGAGATTTTTGCCTATGTTTTCCTCCAAGAGTTTTATGGTTTCATGACTTACATTCATGTTTTTGATCCATTTCGAATTTACTTTTCTGTATGGGGTTAGACAAATGATGTAGCTTCATTCTCTTACATGTAGCTGTCCAGTTTTGCCAACACCAGCTGTTGAAGAGGCTGTCATTTCCCCACTGTATGTCTATCGCTCCTTTATCATATATTAATTGACTGAATATGTTTGGGTTAATATCTCAACTCTCTATTCTGTTCCACTGGTCTGTGGCTCTGTTCTTGTGCCAGTACCAAATTGTCTTGATTACTGTGGCTTTGTAGTACAGCTTGAAGTTGGGAAGCGTGATGCCCCCTGCGTTATTCTTCCTTCTCAGGATTGCTTTGGCTATTCTGGGTCTTTTGTGGTTCCATTATGAATTTTAAAACTATTTGTTCCAGCTCGTTGAAGAATGTTGTTGGTATTTTGATAGGGATTGCATTGAATCTGTAGATTGCTTTAGGCAGGATGGCCATTTTGTCAATATTAATTCTTCCTAGCCAAGAGAATGGGATGAATTTCCATTTTCTAGGGTCTTCTTTAATTTCCCTTAAAAGTGTCTTGTAGTTTTCAGGGTACAGGTCTTTCAGTTCCTTGGTTAGATTTATTCCTAGGTATTTTATTCTTTTTGATGCAATTGTGAATGCAATTGTTTTCCTGATTTCTCTTTCTGCTAATTCACCTTTACTGTATAGAAAAGCAATAGATTTCTGAGTAATAATTTTGTATCCTGTAATTTTGATGAATTCAGATATTAGTCCTACTAGTTTTGGAATGGAGTCTTTAGGGTTTTTTATGTACAATATCATGCCGTCTGCAATTAGTGACAGTTTGACTCCTTTCTTACCAGTCTGGATGTTTTTTATTTCCTTGTTATGTCTGATTGCCATGGCAAGGACCTCCAGTACTATATTGAATAACAGTGGGGAGAGTGTGCATCCCTGTCTTGTTCCTGATCTTAGAGGAAAAGCTTTCAGCTTCTTGCTGTTAAGTATGATGTTGGCTGTGGATTTGTTGTATATGGCCTTTATTATGTTGAGGTACTTGCCCGGTATACCCATTTCGTTGAGAATTTTTATTATAAATGGATGTTGAATTTTGTCAAATGCTTTTTCATCATCTATGGAAATGATCATGTGGTTTCTGTCCTTTTTGTTGATGTGGTAGATGATGGTGATGGATTTTCGAATGTTGTACCATCCTTGCATCCCTGAGATGAATCCACTTGATCATGGTGTATGATCCTCTTGATGTATTTTTGAATTCAGTTTGCTAATATTTTGTTGAGTATTTTTGTATCTTTGTTCATCAGGGAAATTGGTCTATAATTTTCTTTTATGGTGGGGTCTTTGCCTGGTTTTGGTATTAGAGTGACGCTGGCTTCATAGAATGAGTTTCGAAGTATTCCGTCCTCTTCTATTTTTTGGACAACTTTAAGGAGAATGGATATTAAGTCTTCTCTTTATGTCTGATAATATTCAGCGGTGAATCCATCTGCTCCAGGGGTTTTGTTCTTGGGTAGTACCACTGCAATTTCTTTGCTGTTAATTGGTCTGTTTAGATTTTGTTTCTTCCTTGGTCAGTCTTAGAAGGTTGTACTTTTTTAGGACATTGTCCATTTCTTCTAGGTTTTGCAGCTTGTTAGCATATAGATTTTCATAGTATTCTCTAATAAATTTTTGTATTTCTGTGGGGTCTGTCATGATTTTTCCTTTCTCTTTTCTGATACTGTTTGATGTGTGTAGATTCTTTTTCTCCTAATAAGTCTGGCTAGAAGCTTATCTATTTTGTTCATTTTTTCAAAGAACCAGCTCTTGGTTTCATTGATTTTTTTCTACTATTTTATTGTTCTCAAATTTATTTATTTCTTCTCTTATCTTTATTATGTCCCTCCTTCTGCTGACTTTGGGCTTGATTTGTTCTTCTTTATCCAGTTTCAATAATTGTGACTTTAAACTTTGCATTTCAGAATGCTCTTCCCTCTTTAGATAGGCCTGGATTGCTATGTACTTCCCACTTAGAACTACCTTTGCTGCGTTCCACAGAAGTTGGGGCTTTATGCTTTTGCTGTCATTTGTCTTCATATATTGCTTCATCTTTGTTTTAATTTGCTCATTGATCCAGTGGTTATTTAGAAGCATGTTGTTAGGCCTCCATGTGCTTGTGAGCCTTTTTGTTGTCTTTGTACAATTTATTTCTAGTTTTATGCCTTTGTGGTCTTAGAAGTTGGTTGGTAGAATTTCTATCTTTTGGAATTTACTGAGGCTCTTTTTGTGGCCTAGTATGTGACCTATTCTGGAGAATGTTCCATGTGTACTTGAGAAGAATGTGTATCCTGCTGCTTTTGTATGTAGAGTTCTGTAGATGTCTATTTGGTCCATCTGTTCTAGTGTGTTGTTCAGTGCCTCTGTGTCCTTACTTATTTTCTGTCTGGTGGGTCTGTCCTTTGGAGTGAGTGGTGTGTTAAAGTCTCCTAGAACAAATGCATTGCATTTTATTTCCTCCTTTAATTCTGTTAGTATTTGTTTCACATATGTTGGTGCTCCTGCATTGGGTGCATATATATTTATAGTGGTTATATGCTCTTGTTGGGCTGACCCCTTTATCACTATGTAATGTGCTTCTTTATCTCTTGTTGCTTTCTTTGTTTAGAAGTCTATTTTGTCTGATATCAATACTGCTACACCTGACTTTCTCTCCCTATTGTTTGCATGAAATATCTTTTTCCATCCCTTGACTTTTAGTCTGTGTATATCTTTAGGTTTGAGGTGAGTCTCTGGTAAGCAGCATATAGATGGGTCTTGCTTTTTTATCCATTCTGTTACTCCGTGTCTTTTGATTGGTGTATTCAGTCTGTTTACATTTAGGGTGACTACTGAAATATTTGTACTTATTGCCATTGCAGGCTTTAGATTTGTGGTTACAAAAAGTTCAAGCGAAAAGTTCAAGCGTACCTTCTTTACTATCTGTCTAAGTTAACTCACTTATTTAGCTATTGTAAGCACAGTCTGATGATTCTTTCCCTCCCTTCTTATTTCTCCTCCTCCAATCTTTATATGCTAGGTGTTCTATT